CCCCCCCCCCCCCCCGTCACAGCCATGCTTCAACTCTCTCGCAGACAGACTTAGCACCTCTTTTTATTGATCTATTTTTGTATATTATCGTAATAAATGTTACACGTGAAAGAGATGAACAGAACAAGATCCATCGTTATACATCGATAAAAATGATACGTTTAAAGGACGCAGTAAAATCTCAGATAAACTAGTGATGGAGAGATTATTATCGCTAGCTATGCTATACAAATCAGAAGACTTTCGAGAGGCCGTAACAAGGACTTGCAATTGTCACGCGAGTTTGTCCCTCAATCGTGTCAGCCCCCGATTAACCTGGGCTTGATTCTGCGCTTGATATCGAGACTAGTTTTTAGGCGCTTTCTTCATCGATTTATGTGAGCGCGTCTCTCACGACTTTCGAGAAACGTGTTATGTTTTCGCGACTCGGCGCGCGCTCGCGCCGAGAGTCATTCGTTAATTATATTGCACGAACGGGGAAAAGAGGAGGAAAGAAAAGGAAAAAAAAGAACAACAGAAAGAAAGAACACCTCCACGCGGTCGACAATATACACAATTCTCTCGATCTCTCTCTCTCTCTCTCTCTCTCCCTCCTTCTCTCTACTAGTGTCCGTCGGTATATACGTCTAAAAAATTCGAACAACGCCTCTAAAAAGATCCACCGAGACTCGGGACTCCTTCCGCGAGACTTCTCCGATCCCTCGTCTCATTCTAAAATCGCACGCACGCACTCTCGTGCGCCCTCTTTCCGCCGAAGTATACAAAGTATATCGCGATATACGGGCGTTATTCCGTGCACGCCTTATGTGTTACGACGATACCGTTCGCACGTGATAGCGTCGACGGCTCAAAAAGTCACGACGAGGAGCGGCCCGGCTTCCCGCGCGATCCGGCGGCGAACGGCGAAGGGTTCGCAACGTACGAAACGCGAACACGAGGAAAGACACCTTGACGGAGACGTGTGCGCGCATCATCTCTCTTTGTCCGGAGAGATGACACACATCGTATTTAGACACCTATATATAGTGCGAATAAGATCGTAAAACGTGCACTTCGTGATGTGAGACAGATCTCGTCGCAGTTTGTCGTGCTGCACGAGTGTATGTGTGTGTGTGCGTGGATGTTGGTAACAGGTGTGTGCAAAGTGTTGTTAATTATTTCCTCGGACAATCAGATCGACCGGATCGCGCGAGAGCGGGTGCGAGCGACGTGAGTTATTATCGAGAGACCACTCCCTCTTTTTGCGGGAGGTCTCGGAAATCCGATCCTTTCGTTTTCCGTCCCCGAAAGAAACCAGTATCCGTCGTCAACGGACAGACGGGTATAAAAATCTACCGTGATATAGCTACCGCGTCAAGCTGTAAAAAGATTCGAAATTTGTAAAAGCGATCGAAATGGCTACGGTCCCTACGCGCTAGTGGGGGTGCACCTTCAGTGGCGGCACCCTCGTGCCCCGGTGATTGCCTCTACCAGACGATAATTCCTCGTTCAGGCCCCTGTCTCGCACGTAAAGTCGATCTGGGGAAGCGTCATCCGTCATCTCTCGCTTCTCTCTCTCTCTCTCTCTCTCTCTCTTTCTCTCATTCGTCGCTTTCTCTCTCACTCTCACTCTCTCACGCACTTGCTTTCTCTCTCTCTCTCTCTCTCGCGCGCGCGCTCGCTCGTACACTCTCTCACTCGTTTTGTCTCTCTTTCTCTCTTTCACTCCTCATTCAACTCTCGACGAAAAACTTGGCACTTAATATCCGAAAGTCAGAAACCTAAAGCAGTACACGCGGACGAAAAGATCGTAACGATGCGGACGTTTGTTCCTTTTTTTTTTTTTATCAGTCAGAAATGAACACACAGCTATAGGAAGAGATCTTCGCACGAGTACTCGATGAAAAGTTTGGCACCTCGCGGAAACGTTACATTTCTCTCGATTCTCGGAGAGGAGTCGGAAATATTATAAAAATAATTGCTATGTAGATCACGCGCGGTTACGCGCGCGGCTCAGAGTTTCGTTTGACCAGCGTTTTTGAGAAACGTTCCTTCCGGAGTTAGTCGGCGTCTCGATAGTGACGGGGAAGATCGAATGCGCATCGTTACGAGTCTCATCGGTCGGGAGCAGCGGGTCCATCGGAGCGCGTCTTACTCAGGGACCTCGCGCGGTCGTGCATGATTACTTCAGAAGAGGAGTCCTCCTTGCGGTGACGATCGTGCGAGGGCATCGTACGACGCGCAACGCGGATGGGCGCTCGTCTTTTATACATTAAGTAAATTAGTAGAACAATACGGTTCTCTCTTTTTCTCCCGGACACGTGTGCGTGCGCGTGTGAGGATAAGTCGAGCGTTTCTGCGAGCGGAGGAAGCGCACTCGCGCGGCTGCTCACCGGCAGAGCGGAAATCTACGTATCCACCTCTCTCTTTCTCTCTCTCTCTCTCTCTATCTCGTCTCTCGCTCGTAGAGATTTAGAAGAAGATAAATCAGGATTGACAGGACGGTCGGGCCTGCGAATAAATACGCGCTGAATTTCTCGCGTGCTCTTGCGATCTCGTGTTCTCGGCGATGAGTCTCACGCTAGCTGCGGGTCGAACACACGCGTTATTGCCCCCGTCACATTGATGTACAGCCGCTCGTCTCCGAATTCTTTCCTCTCGTCGCGACGTGTCTCTTCCTTCTCCATCGGTAGCCGGACAAAACGCTCGACAGATCGCCACCACCACGCGCCAACTCTCTCTCTCTCTCTCTCTCTCTCTTTCGTGGTGTAAGGTAATATATTATATAACACATGACATATGGTACATTCTTATATACGAGGGCTCGAGATTTACTCTACGAACGTAAGGCTCAGTTGTTGAGAAAGCAATCCTAATAAGAAAATCGGTAAGGTCGTTGTCGTGCGATCGACGACGGCCGGACGTTATTGCCGTTATTGCGTAACGCGCCAGATTGACGAAAACGAAAAAGGAAAAAAGAAAGAAAGAAACTGGTTTTCCACCGCGGTTGTCCCAACGACGCTTTCTTCCTCCATCGATTCTCCTCCTCCTCTTCCTCCTTCACCTCCTCCCCTACTTCCTCTCCCTCCTCCTCCTCGCATGCGATTTAATCCAGGCGCATATCCTCCGGTCTCCTTTACTGCTCCGCGTCACAAAAAGAGAGAAGAACACTTGATATTGCTGGTGCTTGCGATTGACATTGTTTCTCTTTACGATATATGTATTACCACACGACGGCAAGCGGGAAGGATATTCGGCCAGAGAGCGGCCTCAGATTCAGGCAGGAGACTCGGATTCCAAACGGGAAGGCAGAACGACAACATCAAGTTGAGAAATCAAATCACACTGAGATCATGCTCGATAACAATAACAACGGAGGAAACGAAAAAGTGGCGGTCACACCGTCGGTGCTGCTGCTGGCGCTTCTGCCGCTCTATCTTGCGGGATCTCTTTTGTTCGACCGTGTAAATTTCGTGATGAATTAATTCGGACGCTTCTCGTTTCCGTCGTCTGCCGGATTGGTACGCGCGACATGTGTGTGATGTGTGTGTGTGTGTATACGCTTGTCTCATGCGAGCGAGGAAACGAGTTAACTCCGCATCGCCAGCACGTTGCACCGTCGAGTGAGCTGCGAATGCAGGCCTCTTCGCCAGTGTGCCATTGCGAATGTTTGAAATTAAACTTGCAAACCAAAAAGTAGCTTAGTGAACATACGTCAGCCAGATATTAATATATATTCGCCAATACGTTATACAAGCTACATATGATATACCTTAACATTAATTGCGACGTTGTATCATTAAAGAAAACGATAAAGAAGGCTGTTCTTTCGCGTACGGAAGCTATATATAATACGTAAGAAATCAAAGTGGCGAGCATAGACGGACGTAACTGTATTCGGGAAATTCGTAACATTACGGACAATTCACGTGGAATTGTCGTAAACAACGTTTATCCTTCGTCGTCGAAAGTTCGGTTCGATTTTCGGCCTTCGATGGTAAATCGGCCATTTTTTTTCACGACGAAGGTACAGGAAGTCACTGCTGGAAGTTGACGCGAGATCACACAAGGCAGAGACGGTGATAGACTTGACAGACGAATAACTTTTTTTCCTGTTTCTTTAATCTGACGCAATAAAATTAAATTTGGTCGAAGAAAGGCGAACCGAACTTTCGGACCGATCCGATACATCATCGATAGGAAAATGCAATACCGAACCTTTTGTGTTAATAAAACGGTATACATAAGATCAAAATCAGTCGTGCTTTCGAGCGAGAGCAGTGCTCGGATCGCGTCGAAACGTCGTTGGGGGCACACACTTAAGATCGGTCGCTCCGAACACAAGACACTTCCCCGAGAACGTTCTCCGACATTACGACGCGATACGCGAGCACCGGTCCGATAAATAAAACACACTTGTGATGACTTCAACGTGTAAGTTGAGAGAACGCGTAAGCAGGCAGAAAATCACACCATGCGCATACTTCATGATGCCGGGTTCCGTTCATAGGCGCGAAAGAGATTCATGAGCGTGACGCGCTCGTCGCTTCTGTAAATTCCCTGACATAGCATAGCGCGCTTAAGTCAACCAGCCATATACGGACATTTCGCGAAGAAGAAAAAAAAGAGAGAAAAAAGAACAGAACCGGGTGGGCTCGAAGCGACGTTCTCCAAAATCGATAATCTCTCCCGGAACAGACGGCGATATCGAGGAGCCTCGGAGCGAAATATCATCGATGGAATGGATGGTGTGCGAAGTGACGCGGAGGAAGATGCGGGGGAAGAATGGCGAATGGTGTGTGGTGATTACGTGGACGACAGATGGAGCGGCGTCTCTCTGACGTTCGCTCGACGAACGCTCGGGACGACGACTAGATGTGTGCGATTGCTCGGCGAGACGGCGTACTCACCACAAATCGATTGACTTTGACCTTCGGCGTGCGCGGCGATTCGTTGGTCTGCGAGCCGAGGGACTCGAAGCGGGCCCGCAGACTGCTCGCGGACTCTATGCTGGATTGCTCGCCTGTGCCTTGGGCCATCTCCATCTCGGCGATATGGTGATTGCTGACTTTGCCGTCGGTCTCCTCCCAGTGCTCGAATTTGGCGCGCAGGGTCTTGGCGCGCGCCGCGTTCTGCGCCTGTTTCAGGAACTCGTCCTCCACCTGCAACGCGTGCGCACGGAGTCGGACGGGGAGAGAAAGTGCCGTAAATTACAGGACGACGGAACGCCCCCCGAGAGAGCTCGGGAGGGAAAAACAGAAGGGAGGCGAAACTACTTTTCGAATTATCGAGACCGGAATGTGCCTATGGAAGTTCGGCTCGATTTCAGAAAGTAGCTCTTGAATTTTACTATCCATTTTTTGGGCGGACGGATAGTGAGAATCAACCTTAACACAGGCCCGGCCTTTCTCAGGATACTGTATCCTACTTTGCTTGGACTTTCGAAAATGATATACGAGCCGAAGCTGCGGAGAAGAAGGCGAATTTCCGAAGGGAATGAGGGGAGTATTTTTGCGACTCGATAGCTGGAGCAATCATCATCGTCGACGAACTCGGTTCTGAGAGTTCGACCCGAACCCAACGAACTCTGTACGAATACACACCTTGTCGGAAGCACGAACATAGTTGGGATCTCTCTCCTCGTTGCTGTCGTCACCGTCGGATTCCTCGCCTTCTTCATCTTCGTCCTCCTCCGAGTCCGAGGCGGTCGCTTTGGCGAACTTATCCTCGGGAGGCGGTGTGAAGCGTTTCAACGGCTTCGGGCCATCCGGCAAATCCTCCTTGCATGCGTTCTCCTCCATCTGCCGGAAGATGGACAACATCTTCCTCGCGGTGTCTGTGTGCACCACCTCATCCACCCTGTCGTCGGCTCTGACCACGTCGGGATCGCGGTAAATCTCGCGATCCGGGGAGTCCATCTGCCGTAAATCACCAGGAAAATTTTCAATATCAACTCATGTATGTGATATTAAAAAATGTGTGCAACTCGCACATACATAATATCAACTCGGTATATGTACGCTCTTAAAAGTTCGACGACTCATTTCAAGGACATCAATTACTTCCTAAATTCCGGCTCAATAATGTATGAACGTTTCAGATAAAGTCTTATTTTCGCAGATGTGTTAGCCTCCCGATAAAAGCGTGCGTTCCTAACCGACAAGTTCTGCGATATATTTTTATTTTCACTGTACGCGTCTGTTAATACCGTGTCGTTTTTGAGGAGCAGATTTCCTCGTAGTTTGACGAGTATGAACGAGGAAATATTAAAAATTATTTTTACGTTGTACATTTCTTTCCCGGAAATTGGCAATATATTAATATAATTAAATTAAAAGTTAATAATAAATATATTAAAAACTTTTTATTTCATACTTGATATATGAAAAGAAATAATTACGTCGTGAAAATAATCTCTCATTTGAAGGAGGAGAAAAAGAGAGAGGGAAGTCGAATTGCTCGATTGAGCATGTTTTAATCCGAAAACGTTAATTATTCATAATGTTTCTACGTATCTCTGGTATATTAATTATATATCATTTGTTTCAATCAATTTGCCCGGAGCCTTTCAAAGAAATCTGCCGAAACGCGCCGATAACGCGATAACGCGAAATTATTGCGACTCAAATATATTTATGACGTACGCCGACGTATTTGTTCGTCCGTGCGATCGTTGCCGAAAAATTCGTAGATTGCACGATAAGATGGCAAGGACAGACGATCGGGAAGAATACACATCGTGTATCGCGCGATAATTTTAAACCGAATGCCTGGGCCATGATGCATCATCATGCGTCAGGGATCCAGGTAAGCCGGAGATCGACGACCAAAACGTTTTCTTTTTCCTTTTGACGAACCGTATCCGGCGTGAGTCAGCTCTAAGAGTTCTAAGTGTGGGTGGTACGATAATAAATCTCACGGGGAAGGCACGCGGATTTTTTTTCTTCCCAATCAAAAGTAACATGTTGCGAGCGTGAAAAAAACATATAAATATATAAAAATAAATATATATTATAATATATAATATCCTAATACGATAAAATCAGAAGAATAAGAAAAACGGTCAGGTCTCGCTTGATGTTATCTTATTTACTGAAATCATACTTTTCAAAAGAAGCGACAGTTTAGTTCGCGTATAATATCCAAGGAAAAATATGAACAAATCGAGCGCAAACGCGTAAGCTTTCAGAAAGGATCATCGTGCTTCCGAGAAGTTTCATTTTGCTGGAGAAAAAGCCGCCGTGCAACAGCATATGCTTGCGAAAGAGCATCGTATGGGGCACCGCTGTAGCGACACAAAGAGTTTCTAACGTACCAATCGGGGCCCCTTTTCTACCCTTTCTCTACGAGGTTCTCATCTTGCATTCTATTCGGTCCTCGGCAAGCCCGCACGCACGTTCCCACCTGAACCTGACCGGGTCATATGAGTCAAAAGTCCGATCGCACAGAACGACCCGAAAGTTGGACGAAACTTGCGGTACTTTAAGGGACCACCATCGCGACGATTTTAGGGGCCACTCGGGGCATGAAGAGCGAAAGCTCGTTCGTCGACAAATCGACGACTCGGTAGGACAAAAAGTTTGCGGGCCGCATCAAGGTTAACGTTTAAACGATAGCAAATTGACAGGTTCAAGAGCGCGGTGCACGCACTCCGGAGCGGTCAATTGTCGTCACTTGCGATAATCTCTATTCGTTTCTTGCTTTCGCTCTCGTCGATCTCGATCTTTGCTCCTCATTGAAATCACTCGGATGCGAGAAGCGTGTGATGTGTGTTTGTGTGCGAGAGAGAATTGCTTGTGTCTTGAGAGCAGCGAGAGAAACGAAGTGTCGGGGAAGTCGTTGAAACAAGTGTACCGCACTCGGTCGGGAGGAAGTAATTAAATTAATTAGAGTTAGAACAAGTAGCCTGCCCATAATTTTACATAAAACATAATAAAACGGAGCGAAAAGAGGCTATCATGCGCGATTATACTTTGATCATTAGTCGTATCATCCAATTAATCACTTATACGCATTTAAAAGCTGGCAGGATGGAAAGTAACTCCGAATGATCCTGCGGCGCCGAGGCTCACTGGATGGATATTCAATCTGTATTAATCCAGCGGAAAGCTTTCCGGCCGAAAGCCGCGGGAAATTGAAAATCAATAATTGCCGTGCGGTATTTCTGTCGACGTTACGCAAGAGTCGTCGTCGTCGCGTTACTAGCAATCGAGAAAATTCCTGTGGGAAAAAGAAAGAATTAACTCTCACAGTTAAAAACCGCCTGTCTATAATATAACTGAAGTTTAGTTACCAGACCTAGTTTTTAGCTGTGGGAGCTGATTCTTTTTTTCCGTGTACGACTATAGTCGTAAGAATTAACTTCTACGGTTTAAAAACTAGATCTAGTGACTAAATTTCAGTTTTGTTACATGAATAGCTAGTTTTTAGCTGTGGGAGTTAACTCGAGTCGAAATTTCAGTTCTACGTTAAATCTTCAAAGATTTTATATTGTACTCTCTTTAATGTTATAAATGGGAAGATATTGGCGAGGTTAGATCGACAGGGGAGGGGGGGGGGAAGATTTATATTAATGATTAGATGAGACGAGAGACGCAACGTGTTAGATTACGGTAAAAACGAGGAAAAAAGCGGAGGTAACGCTCGCGCGACGCGTGTAACTTTTTCGCCGCGGCCGTAGCTCGGACTTCGCGCCGGAGTTAAACGGTGTGTCGGGAGAAGAGCGGTACGAGAGCGCACTTGCAACGGAATTCCGCAAAATCACCAGTCCAGAAAGGATATTTGATCACACGCTATGGTATCCCTCCGCCGACCGGCGCGTCAAGCGGCAAATCAAGCCGCGACGAGATTGCGCCCCGAGCGACGTCCGTTCCTTCCTTCGCGTTCGCCATCAGCGGAAACACTTTTATGGTCGCGTGTGACAAAGTTAAAAGACCTCCGGTCTGTGAAGCTCGCGAGCGGAGTTGCCAGAGCGAACCATTAACGCGAAAAAAAAGATTTCGAAAAAGGTGCTCATAAAGGCTGATTTATGTGCGTTTAATTTATCATCATCAATTAATCGGCGTTGGCAACTTTTTCCAACTCGAAAGTCTCGTTTCTCTAATTTCCACGTCTTTCCTGAGTACGCTGAAGCGCACAGCCTCTCTCCCTCGCCCCGAATCCGAGAGATTCCGATGTTATTTTAACAGGTTGGTGCAGAGGATCCCGTCGTGTTCGTGAGATAAAGTACAAAACGAAATCATACAATTTCGAAGAATTAGTATAATTCTGCTTAATTAATAATTTTATTTTACTTAGGTTTCTTTATTCTATGGTTGGGCCTAATAATAGCGACTACAGCTACGGCCCTTCGCGCTGTGTTCGAATATGTCTTCTACTGTTCATTTAATGGCCCCCTGGAAAATATTATAGTAAAAATTACCATGAAATTTTATAATACTGGGCCAGAATTACCGGAAATTATGACCGAAATTATCATGTGCAATTTTTAGAATAATGCGTATATCGTACACCATAATTTCCGTTATAATTCCGGTGTGCTCCAGCATTATAAAATTTTGTGCTAATTTTCATTACAATATTTTCTCCGTGTATCTAAGCAATATGTCGACTCAGCGTTATATTCGACAAAAATAATAATTTTTACGAGTAAAATGGACAACACACATCGACTCGGAATTTTTCTCGACATCTAACGAGGACTTGTAATTTTCCTTTCAGCGGCCAAACTTCTAGCGAAAATCTAACAGAAAAATGACGAAAATCTTTTGCACCGATCCAAAATCAGGATCGTCAATCGCGATACTTCGAGGAGCACCTCTGCACCTTGCCGTCGCGCAAAATCGAACGCGATAACGCCATTAGCTCGGATCACTCGTCGGGCTATTAATTACCTTCTAATACCTAGGCGCTCTTCCGCGCTACTTTTTCGCGAATCAATGCGCCAGCATCACTCAAACCACCGAGCTGAACCCTCGACCAAGGCAAGCTCGAGTATCGATCGCAGCGTGAATACGTGAATCGATTGCGATCGCGCGGCGCTATTACCCGGAGCGTACTATTCGCCGGCTCGTTAATTAGCTGTCAGCCTAGAAAGACGGAGAAAGACAGAGGGTCTCCCGCGTCGTCTCCGCAAACTCCGAGCCGCGTCTCACTCACCCACCCGGACAGCCGGGAACTCGCGAGAAAGCCGGGAGAAAGAAAGGAAAAAAAAGCAAGCTCCTCCGCGAAAAATCGTATCTACGATCGCGAATCCACCGTGAAGAAGACGTAAGGACGAACGGAAAACGCGAGAGCACCGGTGAACAGCACAGCCTAATTACCTTTGCGCTTATACTTTCGAGTAGTCGCTCTCCTCGGCGTCGCTCGGCAAACGGATCGAGACGCGTCGTCACTCAAACTGAACGCGTACCCCGTGTTCCGCCACTCCACGAGTGCGCGCGTTCGCTCTCTCTCTTTCTCTGTCTCTCGAGAGACTCTCTTGCCCGTGTGAGAAGTTCGTATATGCGGCGCGACAGCCGGTTGTTGCTGGTTCGGCGGTTGCTATGCCGTTCACACGAGGAGAGGATACGAGAGAGCCTCCTCCCCTCGGTGTGTGAGTTACTGGGAGGGCCCCGACGTGCCCGCCGCACGGTGGTGGTGTGTGCGCGCCTTCCTTCAGTTAAGTTCCCCGGGGCCCGGTCTGTTCGCTCGTTCGCTCGCTCGCTCGCTCGCTCGCACGCACGCTCCGTCCGCTCCCTCGCTCGCTCCCTCTTCACGAATGGAAGGATGTAGGAATACTAACGGTAAAAGTATGGCTGCTGCGCTGACCACTCCGGAGGGGTTCAAGGACAGCCCGGTTTGTTGGAATCGACTCTCTGCCACTGTGTGCGCGCGCGCTCCGTGGCGCATTTGCCGCCGGCCCGCCGATGCACGCTGCCTTTTATAAGCTGCGAGCGAGCGAACGAGCGGAGTCGTTATCGCGGCTCGATAATTATTCGGCAAACACGCGTCCCATACCCCGCCGGGCGGTGACGAGGGGAGAGGGGGGTCACTGTTCGCAGAGTGATTTGGCGTTTGAGCCGAACCCGAGTTCTCGGTCATGCAACTTTTCTCCAGGGCGGAAACGTGAAAAGTGAAAATGTCGAATTTGTTCAAATTAGAAAATCGACTACTTTCTCGCGAATTCACGCTGGAGGAGAAGATTCACGACACCCCGGGGAGGAGGATTGATCATGAATGTTCTGCTCTAGTGTGAATTTGTGAAAATGTAAATTTTCTAATTTGAAAACACTCGGAATTTTCATTTTACACGCTTCCGCCCTAGGGGAAACTAAATGATCGATATCCTGGGGCCTCGAAGTGTCGGCAAGGTGGGTTACCCTCGGGGATACCCTCCGGACGGATAAGGCGCTCTTTCCTCCTCGAGGAAAATATGAGGGGGAAGGCATCGTTGATGGAGATAAGATTTTTGAGAATCCTCGTCGTTGGTTTTCTTTGTCCAAGAGTCTGTTTTAGCCGAGAAAGTTAGGAAATAGGGATAGTCGATCGAGCTGGATGAAAATGTCACGAGGTAATTGTGGAGAGAGAGAGTGGGAGGGCCCGTGCATTGTTCCATCCGCTTTTCGTGTCACCGCCCTGCGTTTCGATCTTCGGAAAATCAATCCGAACTCCGCTCGAAATTACATTACAGGATGTACGCGGTGAGAAAGTGCTAGATTGCAAGTTCGTAACAAAGGATTGAGTAAATTCTAGTTGGATTAAATAAATCTTACTTGGATCGAGTAAATCTTTCACTTGGATCAGGCAAACACAAATACTGATACTTGATTCAAATAAAAATTTGCCAAGGAGAATCCCAACAGCCTCCGTGGCGCAATCGGTTAGCGCGTTCGGCTGTTAACCGAAAGGTTGATGGTTCTCGAGTCCACCCGGGGGTGGCGACGTCTTTTTTCGTGTCGCTCTTCAAAATCTTTTGCTAAGAAATTTTGGAATAATTATTTACTTGAATCAAGCGCTTTTCTCTGTGCACGTCCGATCTAAATCGAGAACGACCCGGATGTCAAGTGGATTCCCCAACGAGCTAAGAATAGATCTCTAATTAAAGCAAATTACTGTGTGGCAGAATTATGGATGCTAATTTTAATGTTAATTTTTGACAGAATATTTTTAATACTTTTCAACATGTTCACCTTGTGTTAAATCAACACAAAAATTTGTGTGGACCGTTTGGGACATGTGAAATTGTGTTAAATTTAACACCAAATTTTTTTTTACTGTGTAAGAGCCGGCTAATTGTTATTTGGTGCAAGGAGCCTTATGTAACGTGGGAAGGAGAGGGGGGAGGGGGGTACAACCACGTTAGTGAATCAATCTCAAAGAAATCAAAAATCATTCATGAAACTGCAAGTGGTTAAATTGCGTGATGCAATGCGGAACGGACAGGCACGAGTTGACCGCGAGCGTTTCTCCTATCTTAATTGTAAATGTAATCACGCTATTCTTCGGGAAAACAATACCGTGGGTTGGGCGACGCGAATTCAGTCTTACGTTTACGCGTTCGCCGTTAATTGTATCTTCAGATATGATCTTTACGTCGTCGCGCTTTTCACCGATAATTGAAAAGGATTTTATCAGTTATACCGACAGTGTCGCTCGCTGATAAACATTGTATTCGAGCCATGACGGAAAGCAAAGCATGCAAAGAGAGAAAGAGAGAGAGAAAGAACGATGCTATCTCGAATGGAGGAAAGTTGTCGAAATTATCTCGTTAAAAATTGGAGAATTCCTTTCGCTCGGCCAGTAAAGATCTGTCGCGCGCTATCGATTTATCGATCACGTTTTAGGCTTTTATTTCAGTTCTCTCTAGAAAAACGCGTTCTATTAATTCGAGAATCGCGCGGTAAATCGTTTAATTAGTCAATATCACGCTTGTTAGATCGGATTAATACAGAAAGGTCAATCAATCAACGACAACACAAAGTCGAAGGATCGAACCTTGACTTGTCCGTCGCGTGGCGGCGTAATGCGAAACTGCTTCCGCTGTTTCTCCGGTTCCTTGTAGGACTCGAAAAATTTGAACTTGTTCGTAATGTCGGATGTTTCTACGTGGACTTCCTCGGTCGTGTCTGAGCTGCGCACCACGTCGTCTGAGACTTGACGAGCCATGAATGCCTTTTCTCGCAAATATTTCGAGGATTATCGTTACTGGAGCGCAACCAAAGTTTGCGTTCTGCTGTGAGAACCTTCTCACGCTTAACCATCTCTTATTCGAGAACAGAGTTCGTTTCAGTTTTTTTTTTTTTTTTTTCCATTGAAATCGCTTCAAATACACGAGAGTCGCGCGAATAATATTGCGTGATAAATTGCGAAATCATTTCTAACGATGAAAGGATACTTGTCAAAATTCCGTTCTGAATAGAAACTGGTTTAAATAAATTTTTTAAGTTTTCAAACGCATGTACTAAGGAAACTTGATTTTGACGACTACTTTAGGGTGAATTTTCTGATTTAATTTCTTGCAAATAAACTAGTTCAAATAATTTTTAATGATTCAGAAAAGAAATAAAATAAAATCAACCAATTCAAATTCTTTTTTCAAGTTTTATTTCGGCGACTTTCGGCGATCGGTTTTTTCCAATTTCACTTTGGCAAATTCGCAATTGCAATCGTCGACACTTTTCGCGAGCAAGCCTCGATAATTGTTCTCTTCGCAGACGCGAGCGTTGGCGCGGCTTGGCGGATCGGCTAATGTGCTAAAGGTCGAACTTACGTCTCGTGCGCGCCGCGAGGTCTCGGTCGGCGTCTTCGGAAGCACCGGCGTCACTGGACGGCCCGTCTTCGCAGCGGAGGCGTCCAATTCCAAAAAGAGCGACCGCGACTTCCTGCTGATACCTGCGTGCACCGCGTGTGACCAACATAGATTTCCATAAATCACGTGCGACTTTAAAATGTCAATTAGCACCGCCGCGCGGTGACTTTCACCCTGCCGCGTAGTTCGACACGTTATAATGATCTATCTCTGTCGAGGACCGGAAAAAGCCCCCCATAAGGCGGCTGAATATTAATCTGATCTCGTAACACAATTCTCCGCTCTGCGGAGAGTTTTTACTGCGAATGTCTCGCTCGCTACTGGGGCGAGCGATACTAGGTTGCTTTCTTCCGGAGTTCCTCTTGGGAACGTTTTGCAGTGGCGCGAGGCCAGCTGTACCAGACACGCTATAACTGAGAGTCATCGTTAAAAATTGTCCGATTCTTTTATTCGGGAACCGCTTAATAGAGATAATTATTTTAACTTGTGCGTGACAGTTATTAGTTGTCAGAATGCAACACGAATTGGAAAGGACGCATCTCGCGCGTAATTTTTTTCTTTTTTTCCTCTTTATCGCGAATGAAATTTTGCAGTAGCTGCTCTCTCGGTGCATAATTTCTTTTCTCAGCCTCGCGTTCCCGAACGTGACACCGTGATTTTCGCGACCGACGTAGTTTCTCCGCCCCGAGAACCCGAGCATCTCGGACAATTTTTACCTCGCTTCGGATAATTGTTAATCGCCTCCGTATTCGTATTCACACGTTACCCACGGGATCTCCCGCGAGTTTTTGTCGCGAATGGAATGTAACGTTAGATGCTCCCAAAGTTAGCTCACGCGGTTTCTTATCCGTCTCCGAAACGTGACGACACGTGTCGTTGCGACTGGAAGTTTCTCCCGCTCGGAATGATCGCCGAGCCTCCGCTAATCGGCGATTAGCTCGAATTCTTGAACTGGCGAATTATCCGCGATTACTTCGGCGCCACGATGCGTACCTGCCGCGATCACCTCCTCGTCGGCTTTCTCCGGTTTCGGCTTGCTGTCGATCTCGTCGTCCGAGGTGGCGATCGGTTCGCCTCGTTCGAATCTTTCCTTGATGGAGCGAGCGTGGGTCGAATGCTGGATCTCCTCCGCCGCATTTATCTTCGTGACGCGGTCGCTTCCGGCTACCGCCTGCTGGTACATCTCTTTCATCTTACCCTGTTTACCCTGTGAATCGCAGAAAAAGAGGGAAAGGGGGAGGGGTAGATTAATAACGTAGATCAGCGAGACGTGGTAGGCGGAATCGTGGAAAAATCACGCGAACCGGTGCAACGATCAATGCTACCCAAAGAGAGAGACCTTTTTAGGTAGCGCGACCGGGTCCTTCGATAGCGGCTCGTACGTTACGTTTGACGAATCACCGGAAACCGTATTTTTACGACACGATCCGCGTAGGAGAGAACGAGCCGATTACCATGAACAGTCGCGAGCGGATTCCTGCGATTTCTTCCTTCCTAGCCTCGCGCTGAACCTCGCGCCTGCCCTGCTGGCTGGTGGACTCCCAACGGTTCTTGATGTCGTCCATCTTCGAGAAACTGATCGGACGCTCGCGAGTCGTGCGTTTCGCCTTCACAATCTCGGTCTCCACCTCTGAAATTCGTAAAAAAGGATATACATACACTTCCGATGCATGATGTGAGAAAAATTGAAATTCTTAATTTCGAGTTTGCGAAACTCTCACGGGGGGAAGGATTTCTTTTTGGATCTGATCAGATTTCTTTAATCGAAACAAACCTGCGTTTTAGAGTGGAGCAAATCAAGGAATGTTTAATTCAATCAAGAGAATTCGGTGTGGTTTCTTAAACAATTAATATCTTCACGTCAAATAACTCATTTCTTTTGTATTCTCATCCAAACATTACGATAGTTGTTTTTTCACCTCTTGATTTCAGCGGAACAATATTTAATATATAATGAAGTAATTTTTTTATTAAGAACAGAATATTATTTCCTTTATGATAATACTTTTTTTTTTTTTTTTTTTTTTTCTATCGAATAACATAGTTTATCTACTTTAGTAAAACAACAGCATTTTCGTCCGAACAAAACGACATTTGACATTAAATGATTTCGTCTGTGCGTTAAACAAACACGCGTACTAAATCCAAGGAAATCTTTTTCCCCGTGCGATCTTTCATCGATCCACCGGATTCGGTATGCTACAACATTTTTATCTCGCGTCCTTTTCTCTCTTAAAATTCCAACAATTCCTTCAATTATGTACCCTACCTTCGGTTTCCTCCGTTTCCACCTCCTCTTCGCTTTCGCTGGATTCCTCGTAGGGTATGCCATTGAGAGACTCGTCTGCCACGCCAATGTCCATACCTTTGGCCTGGAATCTGTATGAGAGAACGTGAACAACGGTTACAGGCGTATCGTACGAGAGACTATCGCCACGTACGACTCCGTCACGATCGTTGTGAGCATGTTCGCGTTTTTCCTCGTGGGTTTCACGTTACGGAATGAAAACTGCTGACTGCCGAATACCGAATATATATGTCACTAATATTAAATGTACCGCGCGGTGAAGCGAGCTGATGTGAATTTCCGACGCGACGAGACATCCATTCTGCGTTGGAATAATCCCGAGAAATAGAGTCGAAGATTTTTAAGAAGCCTTCAATAAGCGTAGTTGCGAGCGATCGTCATCGATAATACAGTAATGGCTTCCCGTCTAATTCTTCCCGATTACTCGATTCGCTCCTACGAATAATTTCCCACTAATGCCCAGCGCTGCTGCTCTCCGACTCTTTGTACGAAAACGACGAGCCTCGCGAGCTTCGTCGCCGGAGAGAGAAACGTTAACTCCGTCGGAAATACAGACTCATCATTGTGTGCATTCTGCAGAAACGGATCCGTGTCACGGCAAGATATCGCGGGTTTAGAATTATCGTCGCTCGCGCGGGGAAAGGCTCCTCTCCTGCATGGTCGAGAGACTTGAATTGCAGCTTGGTATTCACGTTATAACGCGAAATAACAGTCCAGGCGTGGGCAAAAGGGGCTTGCGCAAAAATATCCGGCCGGGTGTACAAATTCGATCGCGCTCACTTGGCCAGTTTGCTGAGGATGCTGGGCGACCTCTTGACGGCGATCTGCGACGGCGACCTCTCGATCTCATTGGCGTTCTCCGTGCTGGCTTTCTCGAAGACCTGGAAGCGCGACTTCACGTTCAGACTCGAGAGCTCCTCGAGTCCCAGATCGGGCTTGTCGGAAGCTGAAATTCAGAGAGAAAGGATATCTCCTTACACGTCTCCTATGATGCTCTCCCTCTCTCTCGTCGTCACCGTTCAAACATTTCAGCACACACACACTCTCTCTCCGATAAATTTGTTAGACCGCCGTTCGGGCGCGACGGATTCGCGGAGGGAGTGGCGTGTAGGCGAAGTTGCACACGACACAGAATTCTAAAAAGCGCCGAAGAGACTCATGTCGAAAGTTCGAGGACCGTGTCGGGGAGAGAGAGTTGCTCGGCCGATCGTCGCTCGGATACGACAGCGTCCGGATAGTCAAACGCGCGCCACAGCGTTCGGTTTCAAACGGTTGCGTTGCGGCTCCTCGCGCTTTCCGCGTTTCCGCTCGTCGATGTCGCGTGCTCGCAACCGAGATATTACCGTCCGCTTGTTGACTCCGCCGGAATTACCGGTGGTATCGCGGATAGACGAAACTGAGAAATCCACTCACTTGGTCGACTCAAGCTATGTTTTGGTTATGAAAGCTGAGGTTTGATTCTCTGAACCAAAGTCCGAGTCGAAATTTTCGTTCTACGTTGAGTCTTCAAAAGTCTTCTTTGGGTTCCTATTGGTACTACAAATGGCAAGTTATTTCCGTTTTCTCCACTTGAAGACTCAATGTGGAATTAAGCAGACTTATAAGCACATTATGATGTAGAAGCAACATTTCGTTTCAGATAACGAAATTCTGGTTCTTATAACCACAATATTTGTTGATTTATATCCAAACAAGAATTTAGTTTGAGTCAACAGGTTCCTCAGTGCACTTACCGGCGCAAGTGAAAACAAAATTGTACATATCGCTCTCTGGTGTACGGAAAAAAAGTGCTAGATTCAAGTAAATAATGATTCCCACACCCCTTAGTAAGTATTTCACTTGAATCAAATAAATATGATTTTATATCAATTCAAGCAGAGATTTTCTAAGAAGTATTAAAGTGATCCACTTAATTTATTTAACTATTTACTCGAATCCAACGCTTTATTCTGTGTATTTAACTAACAGCCAGATTCGCGAATCTTGTTGAATCTAAATTTTAACGCGCGCGTGCCGCTTCGTTTCGCGCTGAATTGAAAAATATTATCGTTCCCGGCTCAATCGATAGAGCTCCCCGAAATTTTTCTGCACCGAGTAACACGAAGCGAGAGATGAAGAAGCTTGCGTTAAGTCAAACATAGCGTATCAATATGTCGGGTAAATCATGGAAATTTCACGCACACACATATGGAAAACTGATAGTATTGTTACCGAGCAGCACAAAGATCTCCGTGTCTCGCGTTCCGTCGTGCACACACACACACACACACACACACACACACACACGAGAAACGAGCTCTAACTCTAACCCGGAAAATTGGATCGATCGGCTTAGGCGAGTCCGAATAAGCGCGCGATACGTTAGACCGCGACCCGTTCAATTCCCGAGGCGCGGCTGGAACATTCACACGCGCAATTCGTAGAATGTATAATCGCAATTAAAAGCGCGGCCGAACGATCGCGCTCGCCTCTCTCGTCGCTCGTCAAATAAGGCATAACCGACCGACCGAGCGAACAAACGAATGAACAGACGTTTATAACGTAATAACGGTTCGCGTGCGAATCGCGCAAATGCGTTGTTACTGTTACAATCGGTCCGTTAATGCGGGCGACACATGATTTAATACGCGATCGGCGGGTAGTAATGATCGACGGTTAAAAAGCCACTCTCCAAACGGACACGCGCACACACACACAGAGAGCAAGTTAGGAACGGGGCTCCCCCGTGGGAATTGCGTTCCATGCGGAAACCACACACAGCCAACGTCGCACGACGTTACCTCTGACCACGTCGGGCGGCAGCTCTTTCGGCTCGTTCTCCCGTATGATCAGCTCCGGCTTTCGAGGTCGCACTGCGGAGTTCACAAGACAACTCTTTGTCGCATTAACGATCACCTCTTTTCCTCTCTATCTCTCTCGACGAGCGAGGCGCGCGCGCGCTTACGCGTAATTACACGGGTGGGAAAGAGGAGAACTGTAATTTTCGCCTCCGCGCTAAAAGCTCTAACAAAGTGGGTCCTCCGACGACGGCCCCACAGGCGATCCCGAGTTGCGTGCCGACGCGCGTTGATCTACGCTCGGATCTCCCGTTGGCTCTTCATTAGACAATGTTACATGTCTACATTGAGAACGCGGTGCCATCGATCGCTCGTGACTCGACATAGCGCAGGTCTTTCGCGCTCCCGCGGAACGTGGGATTACCGGTATCACCCGCTTTCATACACTGAGAAAAAATATATCGTCGTAATTATAATTGCATAGCGAAGCCGTCGTCGTGCTCGGGAAACTCGGTTTTTCCAGTAGGCGCTGCTGTAATGTTGTCGATTAGCCGAATGTGGACCGACTCGGACTGGATCCGAACCAAACAATTTGTCAACCATTCAGTGGCTGCGCGAATTACACTTTCGTTCGTGCTACACGAAGAAAATATTGCTTTATAATGGCCGTGTATATGGACTAGAGATGAGAATAACTGAATCCGACGGTAAGAATTGTACAAAATGTGCGTTTAGTAATATTTTAAGAAATTTTAATACTCCGAAGGGAAATTTTAATACTCTGAAAGGATTGTAAATGGTTTTCTTTCATCTGAAAGACACTTCAAAGATCATTACAAATGTACATTTGATGGGAATATAATGAAGAATGATGTTTAATCTTATGCATTAGTATAAAAAACCTGAATACAGTCCAATTGTGAAACTGTAAAAAACAACGAATTTCACCAAAATTGCCGATAAATCACCATCTTACCATGGTTTCACCGTAAATAATCATCACTTTGAAACTGACATATATAATTACATAATTTTACATCTTTATCGTAGAATCTCCTCGGCCCCGCTCATTTCATCTCTGATTGCTCATCGATAATTAACCTTATATGCATATTGCCGCTACTACCTTTTCATAGGAACATCGGCAAAAAAATATGATTGACGCCGAAAACTACTATAATTTGTAGTGAGATCGACCATCTTTCTCTCTCTCTCTCTCTCTCTCAGTGTAGTAAAACGAGATACGTGCAGATTCGTACGATCGAAGAACGCGGCTGGAGTTAATCAGTCGGGTCGCGCTAATCGCGCGCCGCTGCTGCGGTCGATCACCGGCGAACGCGCTTCGCCTCTTCTCTCGCCGCCGAAGCGTATTCGCGGTTTACGGTTCCCTTCATACCCTCGCGCGAATTTATCCTGCCTCGTTCGTTTCCCGGCGAGATTAGCGCTCTAAGAGCTCTACGGACGCCGATATCGACGTCGCTCGCTAAATATTCGAGTCAAGATTTAACGAGTGATTCGTAAAGACGAGCCGTTTAAAGTAGATTAGCGGTCAGTGCGCGGCTCGGCACGGCGAGCGCCGGTATATACAGTATTGCGCGCTGGTGGACGGTAATCATCTTACCGGGCTGGTCGGACTCTTCGACCGGTTTCGGTTGGAAGAGCTCCTTGAAGTGTGGCTTACAGTAGAGCGTGCTCTCGTGGCTCTCGTAATTGTCCACGTTAAGCTGCTTGCTGCACTGCACGCACCGGAAGCAATTCTTGTGCCAGACCAGACCCTCAGCCTTTGTCTGCTCCATTTGGAACACGACCTTGCCGCAGCTGCGACAATTCGTGTTCGCCTCGCCGTTCTGACCCACCTGCAGCACGCGCAAAAGCGCCAATTAATTAACGCTCGCCCGGCTCTCGCTTTCTATGCCGCGTCTCTTGTCGGAAGGAGCCGACGGCACAGGTGATGCGCCGGGTTTGTCGGATAGCTTCAGTTGAAACGCGGCTTTAACTTAGGTAAAATTGAAACGTCCGTAATCGCAAGCGAATCGTGTCGGATTCACTTACTTCGGCATTAATTGCAAGTTGCCGTGTGTGATTTACATATGAGAGAAAGAGAGAACTTACGGCGTTCAGCTGTTGTTGCACCTTTCCGGCATCGACCGAGCGCACGTGCAGAACAGTCTTCTTGGTGAGAGCGTCGAATTTGTTGAAGCTCGATTTCTGCAAGTACAAATGGCGCAAGTGTCAAGTAAATAGGCGACCACGAGAGTCGAGGGGCTAGAATGAGAAAGGAAGGAAGGAGGAACACGAAGAACGTTCCGCAGGCAAACATTTTGCCCTCTTCTAATCTCACTTAACAGAGCAGAAAAATTCTCACTTTCGCATCCCCTCGCTATTTCTCGAATAAAGAACAATGCAAGATGGAAAAAGGTGGTTATCGGGCGAAGGGGAAAGAAGTATAAAGCGAATTCGAAGAGCCACCGCGTCGTGCGCAAACGAAGATCGCACTCTCGCGGAATCGATGAAATCGTTGCGGAGCTCTCTCGAATGCGAAATAATGGACGCTACGTTTTCCGATAACATTATTTATGTAAATAATTATCAAAAAGTACGGTTTGGTTAAGTCACGGCTATTGAACAATTGGAAGGAAACACAATTACAATTGTTAAGAAGCACAGTTCAATGATACGCCTGGATCTTTCCGCTTGCGCGCGAGGGTGGCCGTTCACTCTCCGAAGAGATCGTACAAAGGTCTGAAAAAGCGAGCGAATCAATCGGCAGGCTAAGAAAGCGAAGAAGCACGCACATACGTAAATGGTATCTCTCTCTTTCTAAGAAGCAGCTAAGGCGATCACGTAAACACGGGGGCCAAGTCAAACCTCTGTACGAATCGCGAGCCGTCGTGTTCTTACCTCGAGCTTCGGCCTCACGCACACCCGCTCCTTGTCCTTACCCTCGCTCGACAAGCTTGCCAAACTACAGTAGGAAGCCCTCTGTCCCGAGGTCGGTTTTCAGATTGTCAATTAAAGTTTCGCATGCCGGATATGGGTAGTAGCGTCGAAACAACAAAGAGAAGAAACGGGTCGCGGGTTAGTATCGTATTCGTGGTTGTAAAACGTGGTCGGATGGTCCGACGGACGGACGGGGCAAAGGGTTGGTAGCAAAAGGAGGGGGACGACGACGAGGAGGAGCTCTCTTAAGTTGTAATCAGTGGAATTGTCACTAATTGAACCAGTGAAATCTATCGGCCGGTACTCTACCGATAACCAGTGAGTATTCGTTGATTTCTAGTGGAAGCTCTTTGAGGATATTAATGGGAGAATATTCCCGTCTTCTCCATTAGAAGACTTAACGTAGAATTAAGTAGACTTAATGTAGGAATAAAATTTTCACTCGGGGTATACGGGGGATAAATCAATTAAACGTAATGAAGAATATTTCAGGGAAAATCACTGACAATACCTTAAGAGTGGGGATTAAGATAATAAAAAAAGAAGTAATGAAATAATATCTCGTTTCACCGTTTCTGCAGTTAGTTTTCTCCGATGGAAGCAGTCGCTGTTGTTGAGACTTCCGTGGCGAAATTTTACCGATTTGCAGTTTTGTAACTACGATCGTTAGTGACTACTGACTGCTTCTCGGTGATAACACACTGATTGCACTTTAGAGAGGCGAGGACGATATGATGTTCTCGGAGTAAAACTCAGTCGGGGATGCAGCAGTGAGTGGGCTCGCGACATTCCGCGTGGTGTCGTCAGCGCGGCCGGATATTTCAATGCCGTAATTTGCGGGTAGATCCGCTTCGCGCGGCTGACGACGATGAAGACAACGACGTCGACGGAGGTGGTCGTCCGCTCGCAGACTTCGCTAATATCTACGTCCGAGAATATTAATTTTTTCCCCCTCCCCCCGAGCACACGTTTCTTCGCTGTGCGCGCGATAAAACGCAGGCATTACTACGCGTCCTCGCGACGAAACAACGTCGGGAGGCATTTTCGCGCGTAAAGGCGCGACATGCGTGGATATTTGTTCTACTCCGCATTGTCGCATGCGATCTTCTCCGCAACAGAAGTTACGAATACTTTTCTTTAACCCTTCGACCACACTTCCGAAAAGTCGCTCGCACCGCAAACAGAGTCATATCGAGCCTGTGTGATTTTCTAAATTCCATATCTGAAAAACCGTGAAAGGAGAGAGAAGTTGACCAAATTCTAGGATAAAGTGCAACTTTTTTACTCCAATGTTTGATCGTGCATTTATAGAAAATCGAGTTTTAAGTTACTGGGAAAAAAAACTCGAATTTAGTCAATGGCCTCGCGAATGGTAATGTTTTATAGCTCTTTAAACGCAACTCACCGTGTCCTATTTGGCTGGTAATTCGGCCGAAGGGTTCAATGCCGCCGGAGAATTTCCAATTATTTCTTTCCCCGTATCGGCCGTTCTTAATTGTTTTCGGGCTTCGACGTTGTGCGCCCGGGAAGTTATTTCTCTTTAATCTCCGGGTTCCGATTATATAGCCGCGGATAAAGAGGAAAGTACGCGACTTGTAGGTCGCCGGGGCGTACGTGCGAGGCGTTTAAATCGCCTGAGCGCGAAACCTCGCCGACTGCTGCATCGGACGACGACGGGGGGAGAGGGGGGAGGGGGGGGGTGAACAAAACGAACGACAAAGGACAACATTGGCGGTAGCGTGGAATTATTCAGCGGCGAATCGTATATCGGGCGATCATTCCGCATCACGAACCTCCCTTTTCCTCTCTTCGCCGGGCGCGAGATTGCTTTTCGTTTTGACTTATCGTCAGAGGGATAACGCTTTCTTCGGCGGCGCGATACGATCGTGAACGCTTAACGGAAATGATACTGTCGATCTTTCGGCGCAAACGCACCGTTAACGCGAGACACCTTTATGCCGCGAGTTAACGATCCGGTTACCGAATCGCGCCTTTCCCTTTTAATTGGAACAGCGGGAATATGTTTTCTTATCTGACATCGACCGCGAGATTTTCGGATAACCCGCACCCGGGAGAGCAAAACTCGTTAGATCGCGGCACGGTAAAAGTTTGTTTGGGCCGTTGTTTCTCGAACATCGTTTCACGCGATTTAGACATGACTGAGAAATCTCGGGATCTTGCAGATCTTAAAGATTTGATCCTTAATTGACGGAGGCCAATAAGAGCCTGGCATTTGTAAATAGTTATTACATCTTTCATCATCTTATTGACTGTCCAATTATACTGGAACTTATTAAACTTAATGTTTCACTTGGACTTTTGAAGCAAGACTTTTGCCCTCTTTTCCATGTCGCATAATAGCGCGTACATGTTCTCTGATTTTGTGGACTTTTTCATTGAGTCATTCGATACGTCTGTATGCAATAATCCGTCGATCATGCGTACTATT